CGGCGCGCGCTGGGTCGTGGCCGGGCGGAGGCGTCCCCAGCCTGGGCGCCATCCCGAAGGCTGTGTGACCTTGGGCGGCCCCGCACCGTCTCTGGGCCGGGCCCCGCCGGTCCCACCGAGGCTCGCGGAAGGGAAGCCATTCTGGATGCCGGCCGTGCCCACCCCGGCCGGGGGCGCTGGGGAGGCTTTTTCGGGGGAGGCGGAGCCTGGGCCCCGCCGGCCAGGCTGCGGGATCCCCGCCGAGCTCGGCCTCGCGTCGCGAGCGCCCCGACCCCTCCCCTCCGGAGCCTCAGTTTCCCTGTCTGTCAAGTGGAGATCAGATCGCCACGCGCCCAACTGTGGTCGCCAGCCGTGGTTAAGCTGTACCGCCTTTTTACGGTGGTTCCCGGGCAGCGCCTGCGGGGAGGGAGGTGCGGCGCGGGGGAGCCGGGGCGGCTTTGTGGGCGCCTGCGCCGGGCCGAGGTCCCGACCTGGCCGGTTCCCCGGCGCTGGGGCCCCGGGAGCCGATCTATGGGGACGGGGTCTCCAGCCACCCCGGGCCCTGCTCGCGCGCGGAGTTGGTGCTCACCAGGGCCCCGGGCTGCCGCGGGCCGCCCCTGAGCCCGACCCGTGTCCCCGCTTCCAGTGACGCGCCTGGCCCCGGGCATGGCGGACCCAGCGGCGGGCATCGCGGGCTCGGCCGCCAAGAGCGTGCGGCCCTTCCGCTCCAGCGAGGCCTACGTGGAGGCCATGAAGGAAGACCTGGCCGAGTGGCTCAACGCCTTGTACAGCCTGGGCCTGCCGGGCGGCGGGGATGGCTTCCTGACCGGCCTGGCCACAGGTACCACCCTGTGCCAACATGCCAACGCTGTCACCGAGGCCGCGCGGGCCTTGGCGGCCGCCCGCCCAACCCGAGGTGTGGCCTTCCAGGCCCACAGCGTGGCTCCCGGCTCCTTCGTGGCCCGGGACAACGTGGCCACCTTCATCGGCTGGTGCCGCTCGGAGCTGGGCGTGCCCGAGGTGCTCATGTTCGAGACCGAGGACCTGGTGTTGCGCAAGAACGAGAAGAGTGTGGTGCTGTGCCTGCTCGAGGTGGCCCGGCGCGGGGCCCGCCTGGGCCTGCTTGCCCCCCGCCTGGTGCAGTTCGAGCAAGAGATCGAGCGGGAGCTGCGCGCCGCGCCCCCGGCCTGCGACCCCTCGGCGGCCGGGGACGATGTCATCGAGACCCTCCCTGCGCCCGAGGCCCCCACGCGTGGGCCCCGAATGACACCCAGTGACCTGCGCAACCTCGATGAGCTGGTGAGCCATGGGGGCGCCCAGGCCCCCGTCCCCCCACCGCAGCCCCCACCACCTGTCCCCGCGTGTCCGTCTCCTGGGCTCCTGGCATGTGCAGGCCAGCCTACTGCAAGGAAAGGGTGCATATGCTAAACGCCGAGGGTATAGTAGTAGTAAGGCCCAGCGAGGAGACTCTTTTCCATACTAAACCTGCACTCAAGTCTGTCTGCTTTCTTAATCTGGGCACCTCCTCTGCCCTCTTTTGCAACCTTCATCTCAGGGTTTAATGGGTGCTGCCTTGGCTGAGAGACAATGAGTGCTTGGGAGGGCCCCCCCCGCCCCCTAATGGGATCCAGGCGGCCTGTTGGGAGTTGCTAAAGGAGTTTGAACTTAGAAGTCCCCGGTCCCCAGCTCCCTCTTTTCCCAGGGCTAGGTGTCCCTGCCACCCCCGCGGCAGCTGTGCCAAGAGTTTCTTTCTTATCAGGAGCTTAGGACTAGGCTGTGCCTGCCCGGGAGGTGGGTATGGGGATGGCGGTGGCTGTGGGCAGAGCCTGGGCCTGGGTCACTGGAGGCCCCACCTGCTCATTTCCTGCGGCGCCACTGTGGGTGAGGAGGCGGGCAGGGCCTCCCACACAGCCAGCCTGGCAGCCCCAGCCTGGGGTGACATGTGTGCAGTTGTGTGCTCGCCAGGAGGGTGGCCTGCGTACCCCATTGGATGTAGTCTGCTTCTCTGCCAGGGGCACACATGTGCCCTTCCACCTGCCCCTCCCAGGGCCCGGTCTCTATGGACCTTGGCAAAGGGGGAGGGCATCCATGGTTCACTGGGCGCCGAGGCTCTGACCTCATCCTGGCCAGCTTCGTGGACTCGGAGCCAAGAAGGGGAAGGCGTGGGGAGGGGAGGCTGTTGGAGGCATCCAGGATTTCCAGTTCAAGGCCAGTCTGGGCCACCCAGTGAGACCTGTCTCCAAAAAACACAAGCAAAGAAAGGGAAGAGAAGCCGGTGGAAAAAACTGCCCCCGTGTCCGGGGCAGCACAGTGCCAGTTTTCCCCGGAAGGACTTCCTTCTTGACCCCAGAGCAGCTGACTGTCCTTGGGCAGCAGAGGGAGGGACCCGACCCTTGACCCGCAGCCTGTGGTCACAGGTGAGGGAGATCCTGGGCCGCTGCACCTGCCCGGACCAGTTCCCCATGATCAAGGTGTCGGAGGGCAAGTACCGCGTGGGAGACTCGAGCCTGCTCATCTTCGTGCGGGTGAGTGCCGGGGGCGGGGCCGGGGGCGGGGCCTGGCAGGGGCGGGGCCGAGGGAGGGGCGGGG